AGTGTTAGAATTCTTGTACCAGCTATTTGGTGAGCCCCAATTCTTACGGGGCATTATCATTACTTTACAGCCTTTCAGTATTTACAGATAGTCAGTGTTTTCAGTACTTCATTAGAGGCTTCATAAACTAGAGTAACAGTTAGACAAAGTCGTAGGCTTTTCATGTTAAGCTATGTTGGCTACAAATATGTTTCAGAATTGTATTAGTATTTCCGCACTTTGATTTATATCATTTAGACTTTCATTATATCAATATGCGTAAGTTTATCTTCCGCATTCAATATGTTTTGATATCACATATTGATTCAACCAGCTAGTTGGTTCGCTCGGTCACAAGTAGTCAGGCACCGGATGCCGTGTTACGTTCAGGCCCAGGTACGGGGCGTGACAACAGACTTTGGAATACATAAATACAGGCAAAACAATAATGTATTTATACAAAAATACAATGTATTTGAGTTTATTTATACAAAATACAATGTATTTGTATCATTGTATGTGACTAAAATAGTAAAGAAGAGATGAAAAGTCACTGGAAATGGCTTTTTTCGGCCAAGCAAAATACTGTATGCATTGTATTAAAACTAAAATAGAGACGAACAAAAACCGGCCCTCAAATCTTCTCTGGCGCAGCCATGGCCAGATCTGTTCGCCTAAGATGATGAGCCAATAGTGGATTCTGACGCCGATGATCAAAATTGAGTGCTTTAGTGAGTATACCTCGTGTAACCCTCTTCGGAGTTGTTGAATCACCCATTGAAGATGAAATTTGAAGTTTCTTCCTCAAAACCTAACAATGGCGAAAATTTTGAAAAAAGAGTGAAGATAAAAAGAAGAATGGTAGAGTAATTTGGCGTGAACCGGCCAAAACCTTTACCAATTACCACGAGCTTTTGGAGCAAAAACGTTGAGGATCAATTCTGAGAAATTTGTTCCTACGAGAGAGAGAGAGAGAGAGAGAGAGAGAGAGAGAGAGAGTGGAGAGAGAAAGAAGAAAAATCTTGTTGTGATTTGAGAGAACGTGTTAACTGAAACAAAGAGAGAGAAAAAAATATATAAATAGCGTATTTCATGCCTATATGGTAGTGTATACAATAAATACCTATTTTGTTATAAAATATAAAAGGTAACTATAGATAATAATATTTTAAAATAATTTTGGTTATAATAAATAGGATGTAATACTTTGCTATAGGAAATTTTACCACTTATAGCAAAGGTATACACCCTATTTATTATAAATCAAAAGTTATTTTAAATTATTATTTTCTATAGCTACCTTTTATATTTTATAGCAAAATAGGTATTTATGGTATATACTATCATTGAGGCATGAAATACGCTATTTATGTTTTTCCTCTCTCTTTCTTTCAATTAACAGAAGACCCTCTCTCAGATTTTTTCTTCTTTCTATCTCTCTTCCTTCTCTCTCTTCTCCAACTCAAGCCCTAGGATTGATGGCCGACGAGAAAGAAGAATCTCTATCTCTTCAAGCAATTCAAGATAGACACCCTAGTATTGATGGCCGACGAGACATTAGAATAGAGTAGAAGGCAATGAGGAAATAGAAAATAGTGATTTTTTCGAACGGAAAGGAGCAATGTAATGAGCTCTTATCATAAATTTATTGTACGGATCCGACGAACTTTCTTCTCTTCTTGGCCGGAAAACCCCTTCTCCAATGAGCTTTCTTCTCTTCTTTGCTATTTACATCTTGTTTGGATGGTTGTTACCCATCGTTATATAATGTATTGTATCGTTTTATGAATACAACATTTGAATAGATTGTACTGGTTATTGTTTTGCTATTTGGTTAGACTGTATCGTACTGTATTGTAATTGATAAGTTTATTAAAATACCCTTGATTGTTTAAAAATTAAATTTATCAAGAATTACGCATAAAAATAATTTCAGAAAACCCCTTTTCTACTAATTCATCACCAAATATGTCTTATAAAGAAAGGAACCAGAATTGGCAGAAAAACGAACAAAGAATTGGAGTTAAAATCACATTAGGAGAAAAAACGAAATAAAAAAGAAGCAAAACATATACCTTTTACGTTGGAGTTGGAAGCGGCCGAAGTTCTAGAAAAAAAGGATGAAGACAAAAGTAGGTTATAGGTTAGAGATTTGGAGTTAAAATTAAAAAAAAAAAAAGATAAAGGATAAAATAGAATTATGGAATAATAAGTTAGGGCATAATTGGAAAGAAAAATAGAAAACAACCACACCAAATCGGTTGTTTCAAAAAATGGGACTTTTCGTTGTTCTAGAACAATGAATTTAATAATACAATACAACCAATTTTAATAAAACAATCAAAACAAATATTGTTTTGGGATAACAATACAGTACGATACAATAGGTAACAACTATCCAAACAGGCTGTTAGTCATATACAATGATACAAATACATTGTATTCTGTACAAATTCACTCAAACACATATATAAATACAATTTTTGCCTGTATTTTATGTATTTCGAAGATCTTTATTTTTTTAATACAGCTGAATACACATGTATTCATGCATATTGTACATTTCGGTATGCATGAATACATGATATAAACATTAAAATACACTGAATACAAACATTAAAATAGAACAAAATATATAGAATAAATACATTTAATTTTAAAATACAGTGAAGTATACTGAATACAAATAGAAATATAGTGAATACAACCAATGAAATATACTGAATACAACAGTAATAACATATATTAGGAGTAACTAAAATACAGTTATACAAATACATTTGAATACACTAAATATAAAATAGTGAATTATAATTGGGTTGATAATGAGGCATGTTAGAATTGATTTTGTTGAGTTATATTAGGATTGTATCACGCTAATTAACATTATTTCCATTACTAGACAGCTGGACATACCTATTTTTAAGGTGATTGCCCTTACTGTAGTCATGAATACATGGCACGAATAAATGTGAATACATACGCGTACAACTGAACTGCCCTGATTTTAGACGTTTTTTGCTGCTGTATTCATGAATACAACAACGCGAATACAGTGAATACACTACCATAACAACTGAAAAGTAGCTATAGGAAGTAATTATGTATATGGTAGCTATAAGAAGTTAATAGCCACTAAACAATAGTAGTTTCTATAAATTCCTATTTTAATAAAGATGTGTGAATGGGAAATGGAGGGAGAAGATTTGGAGGGAAACAAAAAGTTTACTAAGCCACTTTGTCCCTCATCGGAAAATGAAAAAAAAAAATTATGCTTATATAGAGAAGCATATCTTCTAGCTCTTAAAAGAATTGATAAGAAGTGATGTCTCGCGCCGTCGTCGTTGTATCTTAGCAATAGGAAACATACAGAACTTTTAATTTTTCTGTTACTGTTTGTTGGTGAAATTACAAGTAATTACAATTGAAAAATAAGATGTAGAAAAATAAATAGACATTCTTCAGGCTGAGGCACGAATATCTCGCTCTCTTTAAGGAGATTCAAGCCCACTGCGGTAGCATCTTCACCGGTCCAGCAGTAATACTCTTGACTTGTCCCCTCCAGGATACAACAGCCCGATAACGTCGTATGACTCGAACAAACTCGGGACAAATTGTTGAGTCTTAAGCTCCACCAAAATAAACACCTTCCTTCAACAAAAAAAATAATATTCTCTTTTGTAGGGAATAAGTTGGAGAGTTAGATTTTCTCCTTCTCGTAACTCTCTTTTTCAATAAACCAACTTCACTTTTTCCATACACACTACCATATTTTTTCCATCTACAGCACAAGGAAGAAACACCACTATTTATAGGTATAAAATTTCTTCCATAGAATAAATAACAAAGTAGTTGAATATTAAAATAGTAGAACATGGGTTGGTTATTACAAAATATAAGCTTTAGTGGGTAATAAATGGTAGATCATGACATTAGGGGTTTCATGAGTTACACCAAAGTAATGACCACTTTCTTGCCAATTTATAACCACTATCTCACAAGAAATAATGCACTTTAATATTATAATTTTAATATTAAAATGCACTTACACCAACACTGTTTTTATTTTTGCAGAAATTATTTTGCGAACACAGATTACTAACAGCTTTATCGAAGAGGCTGACTGAAGTTTCAAAAGATACCAGCAGTAGGCCTTTATGGAGCTCAATACCATCTCCTCATCTTCAATTTAACGCCAGTGTTTTTCTTACCACACACCTAATACTTAGACCAACACTAAGAAATGCTGAGATAAATTGTTTATGAACCTATCTTTAATATCTAGATCGCTGCGCAGACCACAACTGACTGTATATCCACCATGAGTATAGAAATGCTCTGAACTTACAACTTTGACTTATGCTTTAAATCGACCATGGAAATGAATACTGAAGCTAATTGCTATCTATCAGTCTATTCATATATCACCTCATAACAACAGTCTGTTTTCTGAAACATAATAATCTCTCATCGTGTCTGATTTTTTCAAGTGAAACAACTCGACTTCAGATCGATGAGAGGGCTATCCTGTTTCTGATCTGATTTACAAGAAGAGCATGTTCTTGAAAATCTATCACCAAAGATTTCTAAGAAACAAGAAATCAAAGATCTCAAGCTATGCTCATTCCCGTCTAAAATTTTCAGAGACAAGCAGATACTAATCCAAACACCGAATGTCTTTACAGACAGTGATATTGAACTGAAAGTGCATTCGTTGTGCGAAATCATAGTAATCAGGCTTTTAAAAATCAATCACCAAAGATATTTTTTGTTTTCTTTAAATGTAAATGAAGCCAAAAAAGGCTTGTTTTTGTTCATGTTCTCTTTTGTTCAGCTTTTTTTGAACTTCGGTTTTTAGCACATCACATCTGATGATGTTTGATGCAAAAATACTACAGACAAAGACGGGAAGCTTTATTAATCACAATATGACTTCCCAAATAAATGTTGCGGAAGCCAAATGTATATAGTGTGAATAAGTGACAACTACTATACCAAAAATTATGACAGCTATNAAAGTTTCCCACCAACTCCTTAACCCACCGATGTGGGATGGAAATTTGACATAATTCAACATAAAAAGGATATTCTTTTACAGATCCTTCTTTTATTGCATATACAAATGGAAAGTACCTTGCATGATTCAACTAATTTCTCAACTTTGTTCAAGTACGAAGGACTGAGATATGAAGTCATCTTGCCACCATCACGTTATGTTGAAAGTTCAAAAAAGGATTTTAGATTGTAAGGTGCAACGACATCTGTTGTTCCGTTCCACAGTAATTCAGCGTATTGTTCGTAGGCCAGCTCAGTCGGGTGAACAGAATCGAAAAACAAGTAATCTTTCACGTTCTTACATAACTCGTACTCTTTTACGTGCCTCTTGCCTCCACAACTAAAAATCCCTCGAAATGGACCCGACCCACAACAAGCCGTCTTTGATGTCTTAAAACCTAATCACAATAAAAAATAGCAAGTATATTAAGATTAAGGAAACATTCTTTGGTAATAATCTAACATTTTACTTTGCATTTTCTCTATATAGTTTGTGTAATTGCATTTTGTTACGAGCATTATACCAACGTGTCATTCAAACTATTAAGTTTCAAGAATCACATTCTATTTTGTGAGCAAAGCCATGAAATTTCTGACAGTGCAAACACCGAATGGAAAAGACGGATAAAGAAACAACCTATGATACTTCTTGTTATAGGTTGTTATTCTTATATAAATCAACAGTGCAGAATATATAATCGAACACAAATGTACTTGATTTTGATGAGATAGAACATACCATATTTTGTCGGATTATCAATGCTTTCAGCAAATACATTGAAGAAGTTGAATATTGTAAACTTAAATCCAGGCAATTGCTTCTCCAGTTGTTTGAGCATTTTTGGGAGAGCTGAATTATACATTTTCGCCGAGTTTGTGATCTCCTCCTCTATGCAATTGCCATTCTTAACTCCCTTTTGAACATTAAGCGCCCTAATTATAGGGACACAACCTAAGGGAGCCGCAGTAAACATGACAAATTTTCTCCCTCCTTTCTTGTAAATTCCCTATAGCATTAAGTTAAAGAAAGTACAAAGAATTATTCTAGCTGCTCTCTAGCCATGAGTATAGAAAATCAATGTAAAGGGAATACTCCAACTCTCCCAAAAATAAAATTAAATCTAATACCAAAAAGATTAGGTTGAATCTATGAGTTCAATACCTTCAAAACAGATGTCAAATTGCCCATAATCATCTGTAGATATTCCCTCTCAGGATATGGAATAGGCGAATTTGCTAAAACAGGAATCAAAAAATCATTATTGCCAGTGCTAAGTATATATACAGCACTGGAGATGATTCGTTTGGACTCTGTTGCCCCGACCTTCTTCTTCAACAATTTTGCCACTTTTTTAAAATGTTTCAACTGTGTTTTAAGATCTATTACCTGTCAAACCGACTCAATATTATGTTTCAGAGATATATAGACAAGTCTTAGTAATACTAATTTATTTTGCTAATTACAAGCGACTTGCACATACGAAATAGAAGGAACTAAAGTTAGACTTTGAGCTAGTTTGATGAATGCGAAGTATAGAATTTTGAAATCTTACACGACTTTAAGTGAAAATAATTCGGCATGCTATTTAAGGTTAAAATTTATTTATTTATTATAAGCATGGTCAAATGAGAATAGGCTGGGAGAAATATATCATAAACACTTTTCAAAAGCTTTGAAAGATTTTCCTACTCTAAATTTAGTGAGAGCTTATAGGAAACCAATCATATAAAAAAACATCTATCGTACACATATATTGATATAACTATTCAAACAAGAATTACACAACAACAACAACAACAACAACAACCCAGTATAATCCCACTTAGTGGGGTCTGGGGAGGGTAGTGTGTACGCAGACCTTACCCCTACCCTAGGGTAGAGAGACTGTTTCCAAATAGACCCCCGACATCCTTCCCTCCAAGAACTTCCCACCTTGCTCTTGGGGAGACTCGAACTCACAACCTCTCGGTTGGAAGTGGGGGTTGCTTACCATCAGAGCAACCCAGCTTACCGTCAAACAAGAATTACATGGAAGTAATTAGTCAAAGGAAATGTCACTTACAAAGCCACGTAGGGTTTCGACCAAAACACCAGAACCGCCTGATGCAAAGTTTACCCCATGAACAAAATGTTGCTTGCCAATTTGGAAATATGATGGAATCAATGGCAATTTAGCATATTCAGCTGAAAATATGACCAAAAATCAAAGTCTAATTACCACTTATCTCCATAGCAAAATAATTCTTGCAGGTGCATTGCAATCAAATTTTGTAAGATGACTGTACAATCCATCTAAGTAGTGGATCTCCCTTTTGTAATTTGCGGAAAGTTACTTAACTTCTTCTCACAAAACCAGATAAAAGATAATAGCCGTGCAAGTTGAGAGCTGTCAGCATAAAAGTAGTATATTTTGCTCCCACAACCTCAGGGTTGGAGGTGGGGGTGCTTACCACTTGAACAACTCTCTCTTGTCAATATAATGATCATAAATCCTCTAAAAACTAGGGATACATAAGATAAGTACATGAACCATTAACGATCCTTAGAGAGCAGGGGGTGCATCAATTAAAGAATTTAAGTGAAATGGAATAGGTACAATGATTCATATAGCAATTGACCAAACTAACGACATAAATTTACCGATAAAATCAGGAATGAGACGTCCATCAGAGAACCTTCCAGTAGGGTGCTTGAAGAATGATTCTCCATATGGCCGAAAATTTGCTTGGAAGTCAGTAATGGTATTGATGTAGTTATTATTCCCAGGATCGAACACTGAATCACCAAACACGAAGAGGGCAGCTTGAGATTTTTCATGACTGCCAATAGAGACAATTGGGCTAGTAAAACAAGCAATCAAAACAAAGATGCAGAGCCCGCAGTAGTGAAACAAGCTTGAGCTCAAAGCCATTAGAGTACTTGAACAAGTTTCTGAACGACCAATAGCTTGGAGATGAGTTTGGTTTATAATTGCATTGAAATGGAAATACATTCTAAATATATACTAGTTTGGTACCACTTTGTGTAAGACTACTTTCTATAGAAAGAGTGTTGGCTGGCTGAAGTCGATGTCATAAAACTCATTTTTTTAATGAATATTATTGAGTTACGAACAGTTCCATTTTCATTTAATAAATGTTTGCGTGAGGCATTTCCCAGACCATTTCTTTCAACATTTTCCATTGTAAAGTAAAGTGTGGCAGCAGCCAGATATTAGTAAGAAACAAAAGGAAGATGGAGGAGGTGATAGAATTTAGAGTAAGTCATCGGTTCAAATCCACCCCATGGGAGACCAAAGGAACAAAAACAATAGAGATGACTCATTCACTTTCTTCAATTTAATGATCTGACTTTGTAATAAATAGGGATCCTTATTTAAAAATATACATCGACTTTATGAGTCTGAATTAGTACAATGCCCTCTCCCTAACTTAAACAAAGCAAGAAGGGAATAAGTCTGAATTATTTTGGTCCCTACCTC